GGACGTGGGAGCAACAGAGGCGAAGAGGGGGCTCCACGCCTCAGATCCTGCTCATTCCCTGGTGATTATATATATACATATACATATATATATATATATATATATATATATATATATATATATATATATATATATATATATATACATATTCATACATGTATGTATATACATACATACATACATACATACATACATATATATATATATATATATATATATATATATATATATATATATATATATATATATATATATATACATATATATATATATATATATATATATATATATATATATATATATATATATATATATATATTTATATATAAATATGTATATACATATATACATACATACATACATACATACACACACACACACAAACACAAACACACACACACACATATATATATATATATATATATATGTGTGTGTGTGTATACATATATACATACATATATATATGCACATATACATATATACATCCTCCTGCTAACTTATCCATCTCACCATACTCACATATCCCCTCCCCCTCCCCGCCACACACTTGTACCCCTACACGAACATGCACCCCCTCAGCCCCCACACATGTACTTACCCACAACCCCTTTCCCTCCCACACACGTATCCCGCCCCGTTTTACAAACTCTTCCGCATACATCACCCCTTCCCTCTCCCACACAAATCCCCCTTCTCCTCCCACACACATATCCCTGCCCCCCCCCCCCCCCCCACACACACATGCCCCCTTCTCCCCTACCAGCATATCCCACACACACCCCTCTCCCCTCCACACGCACTCAACAAACCACCTGTTACAAGCTTCGCCAAATGCCTTTCCCATTCACAAAATATCAACAGCAGTAACGGTTGAGTCTAGAGAGTGATAAATGGCTGACCCTTGAAAGGCGTGAGTAAACTGAGTCTGTACAGTTACGAATACCTGGGCCTATGGCGCGGCGGAGAACTGTACTATATTCATATCTATAAATACAGACGTAATACAATGAACAATTTCTAAACGAGAGATGACTCAAAACGGTGAATAATTCGTAACTAAATTTCACATAATAATGCATAACTTGAGACATCACTGTACTAATACAGATATTCAGTCACTAATATTATGATTAAAATAATCACAATATCAAGCTCTAACATAATCGCACATCAAATTCACGTGTCAATAAAATTTCCATAAATTTTTTGTTTCCATATATAAATAATTTCTTCATGAATAAATAAGAATGTATGCATGACAAGGCAGAGAAAGGAACTGAGGTGAATAAAAGTGATAAGAATAATGACTTTCTACACTGAGTTTACCCACCTTTTAGATTAGATTAATTTGTTCTATAAAGGTGTAAATGCTATGACAGACTGCCAATATTATTGTTATTACTGCTATTATTATACAACTACTGTTGCTAAATATAATAATTACTTCTACCTAATTACTACTACTACTACTATTACAACTATTACTGCTAATTATTCAACTACGATTACTACTACTGTCACTGTTTCTGCTACTGCTACAGCAACAATAACAACTAATATACTAATATTCCTTTCACCACCATTACTTCTATTACTGCTACTACTATTAATACTACTAATAACAATGACAATGCTACTGCTACTCTTGATACTAAGAATACTTAAACTACTACTTACAACAGTAACAATAGTATTCATAGTTTGGATACGAATAGCAACCAAAAGCACAGACGATTAAACCCGGAAAAATTGAGAGAATCATTTTCGTACTTCCTTTCCCACACACAATCCATAATTAGTTTTTATATGGATGGAGAACAGCCTCTCCGTCTGCCCCGCGCCGCCCGCATCAGAGAATCGATTCCTCCGTCGCCTTCCCTTGCCCCGCGCCGCCATTACCTGTCACGTGATCCATGACGAAATAGTCGGCCTGCGAGCGGTCCTCATGCGGCTGCGACGTCGCCGACGCCTGCCCCAGCGACTGCCTGGCGGGGCTCTGGTGCTGCGGCGACCCCGGGCGCGACGCCGAGGGGCTCCTCCGCTCGAGAGTGCGGGAGGGCCGCGCGGATGATCCTCCTTCGTCGAGCTGTTCAGGCGAGGCCTTTGCGGGGTCCGTGGGGGAGGCGCTGCTGTCGGCAGCTGTTGCTTCGGCTGCGGCTACCTGAGCAGAGCCGCCGGGCGCGTGGGAGGCGAGGGCGTCCTCGGCGGGCGGAGCCTGCTCGCGTGCCCTTCTGTCGGGCGCGGAAGTGTCCTCCTCGGGCATCACCGGCGACGTCGCCGTTTCGCTGACGGTCTGGTACGTGGGCGTGCTCTCGCCTCGGCTCGGGGCCGCGGGGCTCGCCTCCGCCCGCACCTGGAACGACGGGATGCGCTCGAGGCCGACCTGGTGCGTGGGCAGGGCGTCCTGCCTCGCTCTGCTGTCCCCGCCCGGCGCCGCGGCCTGAGACGCCAGCAGGTAGGACGCCCCCGGTGGAGTCTTCTCTCCTTGGGCCGCGTCGGCGGGCCTCGTGGGCGACCTGCCCGACGGAGGTGGCTGCGGGGCGGCCTTCTTCGGTCGGCGCGGCACCGGCGGAGGAGCGAGCGACCGGGGAGGCGCGTCGGGCGTCGGGGCGCCGGCAGCTGCAGCTTGCCCTTCGCGCTTCGACTGCGGCGGCGGCTCGTACTGGTGGAAGGCAGGTGGCGGCGGGCGCGGGGGCGGTCTGGGCACCGCGGGCGCCGGGGGCCTCGGAGGCGGCTGCCGGCGCGAAGGGGACGCACTTGACTCCCGGCTTCTGGCGGCGGCGCCTGCGACCGGCGCGGTCGAAAGGGCGCTGTAGATGGCCTCCAGCTGTTTCTCCTGACGCCCGCCGAAGGCCTGCGAGGGAAGCGAGGCGGGCTCCTGCGGCGCACCGGAGGCCCCCCCGGTCCTGGCGACGGCGATGGCCTGGTCGGCGACGATGATGCTGGGCAAGGCGTAGGTGCCGTGCCCCGCGCCGCCCTCCAGCGACGCCGCCCGCGCCGTGCTGCCTGCTGGGCCGCCCTTCCTGCCGGAGCCGCCGGGGCGCCGCGAGCGGATGCTGTTGTCCAGCTCGGTGTCGCTGCTGGAGGTCTCGTGCGCCCGCAGGAGGCTCGTGAGACTGCTGCGGGAGCCCGTGGAGCGTCGCTTGCGGCGCTTGGCGTCGCCCGCGTCGCCGCTGCTCACGAGGCTGCCGGAGGTCTTTGGGAGGCTGGAGTCCTGCGCGGCGGGCTCGCGCTTGGACTCCTTGTGGCTCCTGTAGGTGCTGGCGTTGGAGTGGACGGCCTTGCGCGTCCGCGGTGGCGTGCTGCGCGGAGACACGCTCTTGTAGCGCTGTACCCTTGACAGCGGTTGCGCGCCCGCCGACCTGTGCCTGGGCTGCCGCGGGCTGGGGCCCTCGGACGGAGGCTCCTTTCGGGCAGGGGAGGCGTCCTTCGGGCGGGGGGCGCTGTCTCCCGGGGTCGCCTGGGCACCCGGGAGATAGCCCTTGGCCGCGAGGACCGCCGCTATCTCGCGCAGGATGTACTCCTTGCTGGAGGAGTCCTCGGCGCCGGCGGGGGGCGGCCGGGCGGACGTCATGTCGGGGAAGGGCAGCTTGGGGCTGGGGCGCGCGCGCCGCGTCACCAGGCTGGCCTCCTCCGCCACCTCCTGCCGGATCTGGCGCTCCACGGCCTTGATGCGCTCCTCGATGTACGACTTGATGAGCGACTCCGAGAGGCGGTCGTCCAGGCTGGCGTCGGTCGCGGCGTCGTGGCGGTGGTGGTGGTGGGCGCTGCGCCCGAGCCGGAAGCTCTCGCTGCGGGGTTTGGCGCGGGGGCGGTCGGTGCCCGGCGGGGCCGCCAAGCTGGGGGCGCGGCGCCCGAAGTGGGTCGTGTTGCGCTTGCTGTAGTTCCTCTCCTCCTTGGCCTTCTTGAGCGCCTCGACCTCCGACTTAGTCTTGGAGGGCTCGTGCTTGGCGGAGGGCGCGCCTCCCCCTCGGGCCTCGGCCTGCGCCTTCAGCTGGCGGTTTTTGAGGAAGACCTGCAGCGCCGCCTCCTCCTCGCTGGTGGGCGGGATGGAGCTCTCGGCCTTGGCGCCCAGCAGGGAGGGCGCGCGCGCCTGCAGGCGGTCCACCTTGACCTCGAAGAGCGTCTCCTCGTAGGTGAGCTCGTCGTAGGGCGTGGTCATGCCGGCGTAGAGATGCGTGTCGTGCGCCGACGTGAAGCCCGAGGGCGACTTGCTCTCGAGGGTGGAGTAGGTGCCGGCGATGCCCTTGCGGCGGTCGTAGAGGCTCTTCTCGAGCTCCGTGGAGTGGTCGCTCTCGGCCAGCAGGTGGCGGTGCTGGCGGAAGAAGGCGTCGGGGTCGAAGGAGCTCTCGAAGTCCGTGTTGTCCTGCGCCGTCTTGTCCCACAGGAAGGACGTGTTGCGCCGCGGCAGGAAGGACTCGGGTGACGAGGAGTCGGCGGGCAGCGGGAAGTGGCTGTTGGTGCCCTTGAGGGCCGTGTCGGGCACCGGCGGGAACATGACGTCGTCCATGCCCCCGAGCGTCCGCCACAGTCGCGTGTGCGCCCGCAGGTGAGGGTTGACCGTCTCACATCCTGAGTGCAACATACATCACACTCGCGCGCACGCACACACGCACACACGCTGAGCGGAGATTACACTCTTTCACTCGCTCAGTGCGGGGAAAAACCGGCGATTATGGCCTCCGAATTAAAGATCCAGGTTTCTTTTCCTGTTCTCCAAATGCACGTGAGGATTAACCCTGAAAAATTGGGGCATTTGCGGTGTTATTTTTTAAAATTTTCTATCTTTTATTTTTTTACTTTCCCAAAGGTAATTCGTCTCCTGCCGTCTGACGCTGTTCACTCTCCGTGTAAAGCGACGCTCACGAACACTTGCGACAAGAGTTGCGGAACAGAGACAATATCTGATGGATTCAGTCACCCTCTAACGGCACTGAATATCGTGGAAAATTGTAGGTAGTTTCTGCTGTCAAAACTATGGCACTGCTTGGGGTAGTACTTGGTAACAACAATAATAATAATAACAATAATAATAATAATAATAATAACACCAGCTCGTAACACGTCCTTGAGTGTAGCAAACACTCCAGTAGAATTGTTCTTTATAAATTATCCTCTGGCGTTATCTTCTCGTGGCACTGTGG